TCTATTTGACAATGTTGTAATAAAAAATGTAATGCTACCGAGTTACTCAGTTATTTATCTCATCTACAGTGCCTTGTCAGAATTCACCTGGGAGACTTGCAAGTAAGAAACATGCAGCAAATCCTTGGTGCCTGAGAAATATCATATTTTATTGCAATTAGAAACGGAGATTAGGGGTTGGGAGGGGTGGAAAGAGATAAACCAAAGAACTCATATGCATATATGCACAACCAATCGACAGGGACATTTTGCTAGGGAAGGCAGGTGGGGTGTGGGAGTGGGAAGGTGGGAGTCAGTGGGGGGAAAAGGGGGTATCTGTAATACTTTCAACAATAAAAATTAATTAAATAAAAATCAATGGAAATAAAAAGAATCAAAGAAATGGAGATTCTATGAAAAGTGAAATTAAAGAACAGGACTTCTAACCAGAACTAGATCTGATGTTAGGTAGCGCTAATCACAGAACAAAGATTTTAACTCAGTAAATATTAACTGAGCTTTCAGAATAAACTATGGTTCAAACCTTCCCAGAAAGCACTAGCATGAAAATTTGGGTTGGAGTCCCAAAGAATTCAGATTCCGTTCCTCGAGGAAGGCATGGAGAGAAGAAACCAGAGATGGTCTGCTTGCCTGATTCACAGAGTGAATTTATTGCCTACTTTGTTCTTTATTGCCTCTGCATTTAAAGCCTCCCCAACGTCCCCTTGTTGTATAACAAAATCAATTTTAAAAATAAAATAACAAGACCCACACTTGGTTCTTTACATATGTATCTAATAAATCATTGTTGATGGGAAAAATAAAAGGAGTGAAGAAGGGAGGCAGAGAAGGAGGAAGAGAAGAGAAGGAAAAGAGAGGAAAAATTATAAATTCAATATTCCTCATATTTCATGTAAAAAACATTACCACTTTTACCTTCTAAAGGAAAAAGATCAGACTATCAATATATTTCGTCCTGACTTATTAATTCATTTATATTTAAACTATGCAAAGGTAAATGTTATATCATTTTATTAATATTTAATGCAACATCCTTATTAAAAGAAGACAAAAATATGTAAGAAGACAATTGTTTTAGAAAGTTTACATATGTGGTCATAGAGCCTATGAGAAATGTCTGAGTGGTTTCGCTGAGTCCTGTTTTCTAAAGAACTTTTATACAGAGAATTAATTCTATGCTGAACTTCCTAGCCCTGTAAGATAGGAACCTCAAGGGCCCACAGAAACTTGATAGCATTTATATCCTCCCCACGTCTTTCTTTAACAGGCCCCCTTGTTTTAAGGAGGAAAGGGATGTGCTTTGTCAGAGGACTGACTTTATTAGATGTAATCCAACTACTTTACAAATTTAGAGAAAAATGTAATTTCTTGAGTTTCTAAAATACAAAGACATTAGGGAGAAATGTGAGTTTCATTATGACTGGTTCATTTTCTAAATTTGGCTTTCAAAGTTCAGATTTGAAGTTTATCAGCCATCTGCTCTTCTCTTTATCACAAGCAAATAATATCTATTATAAGAGAAGTCCAAGTCATCTAAACTTTTATTGGTTAGGCTTAATATTATGAAAAATACACAAATAAACTTCATAAAAACTGTGAATTCCAAAAAATATGCATGAATCCACAACTCCTCAATAATTATTCTACAGCAAAAATGAGGAACTTAAAAGGAGCTGAAACTAGGGATTACACATACCTTAAAATATAAACAATAAGAAACAAACAAAAAAAGACCCAACCCAGCATATAAGGAACTTGAAAGTCACCACTCCATCCTAACAATCCTAACAAGTAAAAAGCTGAACAAACTGAAAAATTAACAATTCTTCTTAGGTCCATCACAGAATTGATATCACAGGGAAAACTGCCCTAAATTAGAGAGACTGAAGGAGGGAATACAGAGAATCACAATTTACTGTAGCAGAAATCCACCAACAGAAACCACCATGGAAACCAGGGCCGAGGTCAGAAAACCTGACCCATGAGTGATGAACTTCTGTAGGCTCATGGTGAACCGGTCAGAGAGTTAAAAACTCCATGGGGGACTCACTTCAAGGGGTACCCCACACTTTTGGAGTTTTACATCCAGGTGTTCTAACAGGGTCTCACAGTAAATATCAGAAAAAATTTTCCTCATGTGGAAGGCAAAAAATCAGTAAGGGTAAAACTGAACTCAAAAGCACCATCAATCACCAGATACTATTGACAGCAATAGACAACTTCATCCTACAACAGCAGAATACACCTTTTCTTCAAGCTCACTTGTAACATTCACCATCATGTATCACAATCTGTGCCATAAAACATACTTTAGCAAATTAAGAAGAATAGAATTTATACAGTCTGTTCTCAAACCACAACAGAATTAAACTAGAAATCAATAACAGAAAGATAACTAGGAAATCCCAGAAGATGTGGAGATTAACCACCACATTTCTAAATAACACATGGGTCAAAGAAGAAATCTCTAGACATTTAAAAATATTTTAAGCTAAAAGAAAACACAATTTATCAATTGTGGGATGCAACAAAAGCAATGAATCATAAACCTACAGGTAAAGTACACAACTCCTAGAAAAGAACTCAGGACAAAATTTAGAGGAACTTGGGTATGGCAATTATATTTTAGATACAACACCAAAGGCATGATCCAAGACAGAAATAACTGAGAAGCTGGATTAAATTAAAATTTAAAACTTCGGCTCTGTGGAAGATACTGTCAAGAGAATGAGAAGACATGCCACACGCTGGGAGAAAATATTTGCAAAAGATGCATCTGATAAAGGACCATTATTCAAAATATGCACAGAACTCCTAAAACTCAGCAATAATAAAACAAACAACTCAATTAAAAAATGGGCAAAAGATCTGAACAGAGAGTTCACCAAGCAGATGATGTTTTATTCAGTTGTACACATGAAACCTGTATGGTTTTGCAAACCAATGTCACCCTAATAAATTCAATTAAAAAAAGAAGATATACAGGTGGAAAGTAAGGAAATGAAGATATGTTCCATCCACATTATGTATAGCATAAGGGAAATGCAAATTAAAACACCAGTGAGATACCACTATGTACCTAATAGAAGGTCCCAAATCCAAAACACTGACAACATGAAACGCTGGTGAAGATGTGGAACAACATTGGTGATGAGTGTGCAAAATGGTACATCCACTTTGGAAGACAGCTTGACAGTCTCACTAAATTAAACATACTCTTACCATATGACCCAGCAATAATGCTCCTTGATATGTACACAAAGGGGTTGAAAACTTATGTCCGCTCAAAAATTTGCACACAGAAAAAAGATTAAGAAGTACAAATTGCCAGTTATAGTATCAGTTATAGGAATATAAAGTACAGCAAAGGGAATATAGTCAATACTATTTTAATAACTATGTATGGTGTCTTATGGGTACTAGACTTATCAGGGTGATCACTTTGTAAGGTATGTAAATGTCTTATCACTATATTGTACAGCTGAAACTAATATAGTATCATATATCAGCTGTAATTTAAAACCTGGAAAAAAATCTTGCACACAATTGTTTGCCGCAACTTTATTCATAATTGACAAAACTTGGATGTCCTTCATTAAGTGAATAGATAAACTATAGTACAGCCTGGCTGGTATGGCTCAGTGGTTGAGCATCAACCCATGCGCCAAGAGGTTATCGGTTTGATTCCTGGTCAGGGCACATGCCCAGGCTGTGAGCCAAATCCCCAGTGAGGGGCATGCAGGAGGCCAGTCAATAGTTTCTCTCATTGATATTCTCTCTCATTGATGTTTTCATCTCTCTCTCCCTCTTCCTTCCTCTTTCTCTAAACAATAAAGACAAAAACATTTTTTTAATTAACTATGGTACATTCAGACAATGGAATATTATTCAGTACTAAAAAGAAATGAGCTATTAAGCCATTAAAAGACATAAGAGAAAAGGTAAATGGACATTATTAAGTGGAAAAAGCCAATATGAAAAGGCTATATGCTGTATGATTCTAACTCTATGACACTCTGGAAAAGGCAAAACTTTAGAGATAGCAGTTACAGAGGAGAAAAGGATGAACAGGTATATGACACAGGATTTTTAGGTCAGTGAAACTGTCTTGTACAATATTACAATGATAAATACACAACATTGCACATTGATCAAAACCCATAGAATGTACAGAACCAAGAGTAAAGCCTAATGTAAACTATGGACTTTGGTTCTCTTCTCTCTCTCTCTCTCTCTCTCTCTCTTCCCCTTCCTCCCTTTCTTTCTCCTTTCCTCTCTCTCTCAAATCAATAAAATATATTAGGTGAGAATAAATAAATAAAGTTTTTTAATCTAAAAAATTAAAGATAATGCAAAATCAATTGAAATGCATTGGGCAAGAACACATCTTTCACAAAGACTGGGATACAGATTTGTTAATTTAACAACAACAAAAATTTTTTAGTATCTACCATAAAGGAGTCATTGTCTGAAGTACTAAGAGTATAAAATAAAGGAAACCTAGATCTTATCTAGTGGGATGAAGATATAGTCACATAATTATAACATATGGTGAGAAGTGTTATAATGAAGATATGTCCAAGGTATTATGGAGTACAAAAGGGGATATAGTAAAGTTTGAACATTTAATTTATGTATTGAACCATGGAAGCTACGGTATGTGACAAGGAGGGATTACTACAACAAATGAAAGTGTTAATTTGTACAAACTTTACAGAAGCTTAATAGTAATATTAAAAGGAAAAACCCTAAAGATAGATCAGCACTTTAGAATCTTCCATCTAGCTTCTATTCCCTGCTGGAAATGAGAAAGTTATCTTAACAACAAATGGTTTTAATACCCAGGCATCAGCATGTAGACTGTCCTGATTTTTCCCTTTAATAGAGCTCAATGACTCTCAATATTTAGGAAATATAAGAATTAGTAAACAGGGTTATAAACATGAAAGTGTGTATATTATATTATGTAGGTAAACTACTAACTGCTTGAGAGTTCTTACCATACAGATTTGCTGGCCTCGCACAGTGTTCTCTCAGCTCTCTATTAGCTTTGTTTTAGGTGGTTTCTCAGAGGACATGACAGTAGAGCAGAATCTGACAAGATAAAATGAATTGTTTTTATTTTTTTTTATTAATTTGTTTTTGTCACAGATGTTTCTCATTTTTCCCCCATTGACACCCTCCTCCCCTTCCCTTCTGCCAGCTTTGTTGTCTATGATCATTGGTCATGCATACATGCATGTATGTTCTGTGGTTTATCTCTTCCCCCTCAACTCCCCCTCTTCTGAGCCTTGTCAGTCTGAACCCTACCTTTATGTCTCTGGGTTAATTTTGTTCAGCAGTTTGTCTAGTTCATTATATTCCCCAAATAAGTGAGATCATATGATATTTGTCTTTCTCTGCTTGGTTTGTTTTGCTTAGCATAATACTCTTCAGTTCCTTCCATGCCATCTCAAAGGATAAGAGATCTTTCTTTCTTACAGCTGCATAGTACTCCATTGTGTACATGTACCACTGCTGTTTTATCCATTCATCTACTGATGGACACTTGGGTTGTTTCCAGATCTTAGCTATTGTAAATAGTGCTGCTATGAACATGGGGGTACACATATTCTTCCTGGTTGGTGCCTCAGGTTTCTTAGGGTATTCCTAGAAGTGGGATTACTGGGTCAAATGGAAGTTCAATTTTTAACCTTCTGAGGTAACATCATAATATTTTCCACAGTGGCTGCACCAGTCTGCATTCCCACCAGCAGTGTACTAGAGTCCCCTTTTCTCCACACCCTTGCCAACACTTGTTTGATGATTTGTTGATGGTGGCCATTCTGACAGGTGTGAGGTGATACCTCATAGTTGTTAATTTGCATCTCTCTGATGATTAGTGATGTTGAGCATTTCTTCCTATGTCTCTTAGCCATTTGTATGTCCTTTTTGGAGAGGTGTCTATTTAGTTCCTCTACCCATTTTTTTAATTGGGTTCTTTGTCTTCCCTTTGTTGAGTTGTATGAGCACTCTATAAGTTTTGGAAATTAACCCCTTATCTGATGCATCATTGGCGATTATGGTCTCCCATATAATGGGATTCCTTTCTGTTATGATGGTTGTTTCTTTTGCTGTGCAGAAACTTTTAAGTTTGATGTAGTCCCATGTGTTCATAAAATGAATTGTTTTTAGTGAAATTTAAAGAAAATAATTATTATATCTTTTTAAATAGGCAATTTTATGCTTAGATTGGGATTCAACTACCACATATAATCTAATGGAAAAATGCATAAAAATGACATTACCTCCAAAAATTTTCATCACTGTGGGTGCCACTGGTTAAAACATTTATGCATAAAATTGAAAGTAGCAAATAAGTAAGTTAAAAGGAATTTTTGGCATGAATACAAATATTAACTTACCATTGAGAGAATGGAAAAGTAGAAAATTATATTCAAGTAACCATTTCTCCAACACTAGTATATTGAACACAAACTGCTAAATTTATCTATGCCATGGCTTCACTGCCCCCTAAATCTCCATAGAGCACACCCCAACCTTAGTCATATCCATGCCACCTTTTTGTGTGTGTGTGTGTGTGTGTCCTCACCCAAGGACACTTTTTGATATTTGTTAGATCGAATGGGAGGGGGAGAGAGAGAGAGAGAAAAACACCAATGTAAAAGGGACACATCGAGTGGTTGTCACCCACACGACCCAACCAGGGCCGAGGACAAACTGCAACCAAGGTGCATGCCCTCAGCGGGAACTGAACCCGGGTCTCTCCAGACCGCTGGCAGACACTCTAACCACTGAGCCAAACTGACCAGGGCAACCACTCTACTTTTTAGTGGAAACTAGATGATACTATTTGCTTTACCTATCATGAAACGCCCCATAGACATGGTTGGTTTTATGAACAATTTAAATGGCAACATGTTGAAGTTAGGATGTCAGTTTACAGTCTTGCTTATGGTTGTCTTTATGGTCAAGGATGGAAAGAAGGAAGACAGAGAGATGCTTTATTTACTTCTAAGTTTCATAAAACAGATTAGGATTTCCCAAAATGTGTTTCTAGAACACCAGTCTCACAAAATAATCCATGAAGAGTTTCAGGGACAAATGAATTTGGTAAACGATACATAACATACCCCTTCTTGGAGATTCACAAGGCACATTCAAGTATCAGAAACTTTTAGAAGTCTAATAGTAAAGATATGTGTTTTATTCTGCTTAACCAGCATTCCCAGACTTACTTGATTATGGAAGTGAAAGGTGGAGAATATGCCATCCCAAAATATGCCACTTGAGTGTAAGGATTATTTTGAGTTAAAGGCACTTGAAGAATAGCAGGTGCAAGAAGGGTACTCTAACTTAACTGTTTCTTTCTGAAAACAGAAGCTGAAACTCCCATGTGAGAGCTGCCCTTCCTATCACAGGAGGAAAATAATTTTATATCGCCAGAGATGGAAGTTGAGGCTGAGAGAATTCTATAAAAAGAGACCTTGTTAAAATAATTCTTATCTCCCTTTAGTCTCTCCATTTATTTTACTTTTCCACAATTGCCTATATCTGTTCAACATACTATAAAGACCTTTCAGTTTTGCCACTTCTTTATATCTTTGTTTCTTATCAGGGCTGCCATGTCATGTAAAACTCATGGTAAATAAATGTGTATGCTTCTCTCCTGTTAATCTGCTTTCTAACAATTAAATTCTCAAGCCCAGCCGGAGACCCTAAGAGGTAGGGATAATGTTTTTGCCTCCTCTCCAGAACCCAATTTACTTGACGTGTGCCAGCAACCACTGAGAATAACTGGTTTCAGAACACACCATAGAGAATGCTGCACCAGAGAAAACCGTAAGTGCTATTCTTGAAAGTATGTTTCCCAATTTAAGCAGAAATTCTTACTTTACAAAATAGATAAATGATGGGACTATTATTCAATTTTAATGAGCACTCACTATAAAAGTAACTCTCTTAAAAATTTCCCTTACGCATTTAAAATAAACTAATAAACTTCCAGTTTGTTTCAATTAGTTAACTTATGTGTAATTCTTTCAAAAAAAATGGTAATTGAAATGGTCTTCTGAAAACCATTCAATGTCAGAATAATTCTTCCCACCCAAGCATGATATGACCATAAAAAGTGAAGACTCCAGAATTAAAAAAATACATTAACTGATAACACATTTTAATTTAAGTTATTAAGGTAATTTGCACAAAGTAGGCACTCAATAAATTCTAGTTGAATTGAATTGAGTTGAAGAGCATTGAACTGAACTGAGCTGAGCTAAATTGCAACATAGTGTGCTTATTTCGACAAAACCTAAAGGAAAATGAGCTATAGTCTTCTGCCAACAATGTGTGCTTCTATAAAACAATTAGTTCATAAGTAATTGCTAAGTAGAGGAAGTCTACCAATGTAGAAAGAATGCAGAAGTTGGGCTGATTGATACACATTGGTTTTCCAGGCAAAGGAAGCCAGAATGGTGGAGGAAAAGTATAACCTTCAGCAGGAAAGGAGAGAGGTGGTGCAGACAGAGGAGCCCTTTCAGTTCTACATTATTTCAAATGAGTGCCTGCACCTAAGATCCTTTCTCCAAAGGGGTGCACCCCAGCCTCGCAATGCTCTTCTTGCTTTGCTCTGAGTTCCAGTTCCAGCTGCACTGTCTCCATGTTAACAAGTCAGCATTTTCATTCGATTTTGCTTGTGTATTGTTAATATTCCCTGAGGCAGCATTGCCCCAGCTGTTTTCTCTTCAGACACTGTTTCTGTGTTTGTTAAAGTTCTGGTTACAAACTTGCATAGGTTTTAAGTGGTCTGCACCAATTCTGTTTTCCCATAAGCCTTGTTATTATTAGCACACAATTTCTTCAGAGAAGAGGTTTTCCAGGACATAAATGTCATATTTTTAACAAAAACTCCTGCAGTTATAAATTACTATCTTAAAAGAATGAAGGACTAGTACATTTTGATAATATAGACTATTGTTAGGATGTGTTTCTAATCCCAAGAATTTGGGGGGACGAAAGTAGTTTGCAGTTAATTGATTATACTCCTAAACCTTCCATTTGCTCTCACCAGGTTTCTTTTTTCTATTCCAGAAAGCATCATGCCCATCTTAGGACCTTTGCAGATACTCTCTCTCTTGTCCCTCAAGTTTCAGCTCAAATGTCACCCTTTCAGAAAAATCGTTCTTACCACCTTACCTAAGGCCCCAATCCCCCAAACTTCTGTCTTATCACATTCCTCTTTCATTGTCTTCCCAACACTTCACTTTTCCTGATTTTTGTTTGTGGCTTGTCACGCACATGAAAGCCTGGACCATATCTGCCTTGTTAACTAGAGGGATGAAGCCAGAGACCAGTGTGCTCACAGTTTGAGGGACAGGGATGGTGAAAAGGCCCCACTATGTATAGTCCACAGTCTACCTACCCTACATACGTTTCTAGTCTCATTGCATACTTCTTTCCCTAAGAGCTTTGCATCACAACCCTAGCAATTATTGAAAACTTAGGAGGAGGAGGAACCACTAGTCTCCTAGCTTGATCTTAGGCCGCACCTTACCTCTGCTGGTTCATTGGTAAACCCTCAATGTCTAGGACACATTGGCTTCTGGAAGGCACTACAAAAATATTTCTTCATTGCATGACAGAATAAAAAAAAAAAAAAAATACTCATTGACAAGAAATTTTTCTCCGGCCACTTAACCCTTCAGTAGTTGGATCTGGTCCCTTTTTTTGTTTTCTTCTCCTCTGTGCGTTTGCATTCACTATCTGACGCTCTCAATGCATGTAACTGAACAGACCTACCACACTTTCAAGTTCTTTTTGTTTTCTGTGTCTTCTTATGAAACAGTCTTCAGCTGTTTTCCCTGTTAGCTTTCATGTTTTTTTAAAAAAATCTGTATCATCTAAAGACAATGGTGTAAAAACAAGCAGAGTTGTGTCAAAGGATGGCTTAGTGATTCAAACAATTTAAGTATAGTGTGTTCTCGTGAAAGCAGTTGTTTCCAAAAGATAATAGATAACAGATTGAAGGATCTTAATATCCATTTTTGGAACGGGTCACGTCCATAGGGTCTTCTGTCTTTTATTGTCATAAAATA